GACCACCCAGCTCTCCTTGGGTCTGACTCTGGAGGAATCCCGGAAAATGATTGAAGAAAATACATTTTAATTAGGGCGCTCGAGGAAATGTGATGAAAATTTACCCAGCAAGAGGCTTAGACAGTGAGAGGAGGAAAACAAAACGCGTTAATCAATAAATTGCCGCTCTGGGCAGCTCTGTGAGGGAAATGCATCCAACGGTGCGTATGAAATTGGAAATCAAGCAACACAGCGGCATAGGGAGCCTGCCTCCACTTGGAACTGGAGCTGGAGGTGGAGGAGAGACCACACCAATGGCGCCCCCATAGGGCGAGGGAACCTCTCCTTGGACTGCAGCTTTGATTTATCACTCACTGGGTAACTTGGAGTCGAGTCGAGTCGATATGTCTGCCCCTTTCGGTGAGTGCATCACTCACTTGTTGCCACACAATACACTGGGACTAATATTTAAGGATATAGATTGGTATAAATTAATTTGTCATTCAAAGATATAGTTTTCAAATAGGTTCTTTGGGGCTTAGATAAAGTTCTCTTTCCAATCCATATCCCTTGTCTTATTACTAGCATATTTTCTCGGTGTATTAACTGCGGCTTTGATTGATGCCCCCACACACACATAGAAAGAGAGAGAGAGAGACCCATACTGGGACACACCCAGGCCAAGAGCAAGACGCCGCCCCGACCTTTGGGATCACCTTCGCCTTTGTCTTTGACTCTGCCTTGGACTTGGACTTGGCTTGGTGGACTCGGGTCCGTGGCTCTTTGCTGCGGTCATGGCCCGTTAATTGAAATATGTTTTTGGTCCGTGGTCAGATGAGATCAAAGGGATCGAGAGTGGCGTTCGGCAATGATGATGATTTGATTAATTCGAATGGAGATAGCCATGGAGATGCAACTAACCACCGATGATGTGTTCGATTCGGAACTAATTAAAACATTTTAAAAATATACTCACTCAAACTCGGCTCAAACGGCTTTCAAAGCAAGTTTCTCGGGAGGGGGCTAGAAAATACGCGGAAAATAAAACATTAAACAATCATAAAAATAAATACATTTTCCCACACACACTGACGGTGAGTTGTTGTTGTTGTTGTTGTGGGGACAGGCAAAATAATAATAAAAACGAGAAGCAGTCGAGAAACTTTTGTACTACATGGAAATGTCATTCGCATAACAACAAAAGGCAGCGACAACGACAACGATGATGATGGTGATGGTGAACAACCAAACAACGAAACAAGGCACAAAGTTTCAATTCTCCCGCACACTTCCCTTAACCCCTTAATGGCCCAGTTTTTGCTGGCCAAAAGTTGGTGGCACCTTTGTGTGGGGCCTGCGCTGAGATAACAGCCAACAAAATGTTTGATGTACTTGAAAGTTAATGTTTTGTGGTGTCAACTTTTGTCGGAGAGACTTGGGGCATGGGCTTGGGCTCTGTGGGGCTTTGGTTTTGCAATGGAGAGCGAGAGTCGGCTTTTAATGGTCGGGGATTTTCTCTAATTTGGCTCCACAAAATTAGCCTTTAATCGTCAGTGCTGTTGAGACAAAACTTTGACCTTTCACACGCTCCCAGTTGGAGGAGACCGACCTTCCTTCTCTGCGACTCTTCCCCTTTCAATTACACACGTTTGCTTTCAAGGAATTCTGGTTAACAAGGGGGGGGGAAGCTATGTTTGTTATCAAAAGAACTTTTAGCCGCCTCACTTTTTTGGGGCCAAGAAACCGAATGCCGAAAAACTGAACTACAAAATTGTTTTCCCACGCAAATTAACACTTGACTTTGTTGGCATATTTGCACAAGATGACTTCATTTTCTTCGGGGCTTTTTCCACACACACACACACACACCACCCTCACTTCCCTAAATATTTTATTATTGTTGACTTTCTGTTGCCGCCTCCCCCCGACTTGTCACCTCGCCCCCCAAAGGGGCACAGAAATTTGTGTCTCATCCGAGTCTGTGTTGTAGATATAGCACTTGTTTCCAGTTCCAGTTGTGGGTGCCGCCGCCACGTTCGCTGTCTGCGTCATTGTTTCCAATTTTAATGCGTTATTGGGTAATACTTACCATTTACCATTTACAGCTACGATTTTACAGTCAGAGTCCATTGTCAAGTGGGTCTTTTATATGTCCGGGAATATTTCAGGGAGTACCAAAGCTAGAAATTCACCAGAAAGCAATAAATTCTATTCTAAAAATAATTTCAACTAGATTGAGGCTGATGTTCATGTTAAGGTCTGAGATTTCCTTTTACTGTCAATTACAAATCTCAGTAAAAATTAAATCCCAATCCCTAAAATAAGGGGAGTAAGCAAAATGACAGTGGGTGCAATAAAATCCCATATTAGTCTATATTTTAAGCGTCAAAACTATTCAAGAACTCTAGAAAGGGAAACCAAACCCAGAACCATATCAACATAAAGCTGAAAAGTAATTTTTAACCTCCCTGTCCTGTCCTGTTGTGTCTGCCCCTTTCAATATTCCAGCATAATCCGCATGTCCAGCCGAGCTTATTGCCGCTGCAGCTCCTTCCCACCCGAGACAAGCAAATAGACAAAGGACATCATCGTCCGGGGGAAATGTCAAATGGGGCGAGGCCAATACAGATGGCAGCAAACTTTCGCTGGCGACTGTTCGCCGCCCAATCAGGACGAAATGAAAGCTTGAAAAAGCGACCTGCACTCGCAACGGACTTTTCACTTGCAATTGCAGGAAAAGGCACACTCGAACAAAATAAATTCAAACTTCTTGAGCTGCCTGCATCTATCCTATCTGTGTGTGTGTCCGAGTTCGAGTCCGAGGACTCAGTTCGGGGACAATAAACTTGCTGCCACTGCAATTTCTCAGTTATTTGCTGGGGGAAAATTGAGAAAGGAATGAGGGGATTGAGATATGATAGGAGTGGATGACACTCGTGTCAGCCATAAGCAGCCGGGATCAACTTTTCTCTCTCAATCTTTCTCTCTATCTCTCAGTAGTGTGTTCCTTCTCTGTTTGCTTTTTGCAAAATGGGATTTGAAGGAGCAGAGCAGAGCTCCAGATTGAGCTTGAGCCTGGCCAGGATTTGTGCAGCAAATTAGCTTCATTAATGGATGACTTACTCCCCGCACTACCATAAATCCAACTATTTTTGCATTCTCGCTGCTGGATTTCGCATTTCGCTCAATCAGCGCTGGAAATTTATTATGCTCCATAATCATTTGTCATCTTTCTCTTCATTTTTAACCATTTTCCCGACTCCCGCTACCCGGGTCACCATCCATTTTCATTCCCATTTGGCGCCCGCAGCTCTCTTTCGAGGACATTAAAATTTTTCGCAACATTTTTCACGCATATTCAGCAGCCGAACTGGAGCACGGGAAACGCTCCATTTGGGCGGCCAGTAGTAGTGGTAGCAGTGCCATGGGATCCCGATCCACTAGTGGGGGTCATAAATATCCGGAATATGGTTAAGAATATAACAATTCTTCTCGAACGGCGCACTAATGTCAGCTGCCACTTCCCTCTATCTCCATTCCTTATGCTGTTTTATGTGGCGGAGGAGTCGCCTCCCATTTTTTATGGCTGTCCAAAGAGGTCAGGTCCAGTTCAATATGGCAGAAGAGTGGCTTAAAGTTCCCCCTAAAATTTAACATATGCTAGAAAAGGTTGTCATAGATTTTTCGGGATCTTTGCACAAGTAGCAAGTACAAATATTTGCACTAATAAGAGTAGATAATATTAAAAAAAAATTAGGAATGATATAAAATATCAATCAATACAGTATTATACAGCTTCGAAGGATCTGTGCCCAGTTGTTATTTCAGTATCAGTTACATGTTGTACATCATTAGAATTCACCTAAAGTTTTGCTTGAACTTGTTTGAAAAATATATTGAAAAGTTTTCCCTGTTGGCGTTTCCGAAACTCATCTATTTTGTAGTGAACAGTGCATAGTTTACTATACAACATCCCCGTCTCGTAATGGCCTTGAATTATTCAATAAATTTGCAAAGAATATATTTCAACAATGAAAACAAATTTCTCTTGCATTCTTTGGGCAAACGCCGCCATAAGGGGAAAATGCATAATTCATACGTTCGCCAAATAAGAAAAGCGCCGGAAAAAAGGGGAAAGAGACAGAGAGAGAGGGACGAGCAATGAAAACATTAACAAGGAGCAATAAAATATGAGCGAGCGAATGTAAATCGCTTTCCATAATTCATTGCGTTGACTCGACGACGAGGTCGAGGAGCTGATGCTCCTGGCTCTTCGTCGTAGATTTTCTGGGAAGCATAAACCCATCGAAGGTTGGGTGCTCGTAAAACTAATGAAATTTCAATTCGAATGACGCGACAACCTCGTCCTGAACCTGAACCTCAGCCTGGATTTTCCACGAAATTTTCGCGCACTCGACACGCCATCGAAATTCATAAATTTCTCGGACGACGCCCCCGCCTTATTCCCATTTTTTTCCCACCTCGAAGGGATAACGGAAGCGCAGGTCCGGCTCCGCTCCTCGATGGACTCTGGCCGACAACGACAGGTGAATTTATGATGAAGTGAGTCGTCAGCATTCTGTTTCCCTTTCCCTGGGAGTCGTGGGCATCTCTCCTCCTGATTTCCTAGGCAGGTCGCGTGTAAATTATGAAAACCGGCGATAAAAACGAAAGTAATTCAAAATCTTTGACGTGTGCGAGGGTTTATGGCCTCGCCTACCGAAGCCCTTACAATATCTCCAATATCGCCTCATCTTACTCCTCCGGTTGAGATTTATATCGCTGGATTTATGATCCTGTTAGCGCCACTGCACTGGCTTATCTCACGTGTAGTCATCGAGGATAGGAGCACAACTTGTTTACGACCTGCGGATAGAATGAGTAAGTGCGCAGGTCCTACCTGACTACTTTTATTTGTTGTGACTCTGAACCCCTAATTTGTAGGAAATGAATATATTGTATGAGTTTTTTGAGAGCTCTTCCTACACATAGAACTTTTAGTTTTGAAATATTATTGGATCTAGTTGGCACAGAACTTTAGATCGGTATGGTTGTTTCGACAGCATAACCATAAACATACCACACACTTCTCAATAGAGATATCTCTACGAAATAAATGACGACATACAAAATAAAAGCGATGCCACTGGTGGCTAAAGTTCTCAACTTACGGAGGACAACCACCAATTCACAGCAACAAAAGCAGACTGATACACAGAAGGATGAGGCCTCTCATTCCAGCGGTGACAAATCAGAGGCCAATGAGGAGAATCCTCCGTCCAAGAAAGGCAGCTTGTCGGAGAGTGAATCAAAGAAGGATAAGGCTCGGGTGAATCGACGATGGGAGCACTATGCCCGGTACATGAACACTGGTAAGATTCTCCTGGCCGTGCTCGTGGTCTGTGCCTTCTTCGGCATGTATCCTCTGTTCCGTCGCGGTCAGAAGTCCAGTGTGTCGCAAGAGTCCAGCGTGAAAGTGATTATGTTGTGGAACGAGGACCAGCCCAAGAAATCCAAGGTATCGGCGCACATGGAGTGCGGCTGCGTGGTCACAAATCGCAGGAAGAACTACGAAATGGCCGTCGATGCATTCGTCTTCAATGCCCATAGGCCCTACTCCCTGAAATATCTTCCCCAAATCAATCGCACCCGTGACTTTCTCTCGGTCTTCGCTGCCAGGAATCCCCTGAGCCTGGCCAAGGATCCACCGCTGCCACCCGTCAGCGAAAGGTCGCTCTTCAACCTGACCATGACCTATCGCCTGGACTCGCAGTTGGTCTGGTCGGAATACTACTTCACGCTCCTCAACCAGGCCAAGAGGCTAAACACGTTCCGTGCACCCAGTGAGCACTACGCAGACGAAATGCCGATCTATGAGATGCAACTCCTGGAGAACCAGACAAGGACGAAGGATCGCCTGGCCATGTACCTTCTGTACGAGGTGAATGAGGCGAGTCTGCCTGAAAGCCTGTACTTGGAGGAGTTGCGCAAACATGTCAACCTCGATGCCTATGAAAGCTGTTTGGGTTTCCAGCAGTAAGTGACCTTTCGCTAGTAAGCCCTTCAAGGTCTCCCGAATCTCTCCTCACACAGCTGCAATCACTACCGCTTCATGTTGATCTTCGATTCGACCGCCTGTCCAGATTACGTGCCAACCCACATGTACACGGCCATGCATAAATTTATGGTGCCTGTCCTGATAGGAGGCGGAAACCTGAACAACCTTGTGCCAGCGCAATCCTACATCAGCGGCCGCGACTTCCCGAATCCCAAGGATCTGGTGGCACATCTGAAGTATCTGGCAAAAACACCAAAGGAGTACAAGCAATACTTCTGGTGGCATTCGCTTTACAAGCTCCGCCGCAACTCAGTGCCCTATTGTCAACTCTGCTCCCTCCTCCAGCAGCCGCCAGAGGAGCGGCGCATCGAGACCTCCTTTGCCAAATGGTGGAGCAGATACCAGTGCCCCAAGCGAATCACCACCTTCCTGTGATCCGCTCCAAGGGATAAAATCCTCCAATTACAATTTCCGGTTAGTTGACGTTGAGTTTTGGGTTTCCTCCGTCCAGGATTCCTCTTGATCACAGGGTTTCGCTGAATTTCAGAGGCACTCCTTTGACCGAGTTGAGTTAAAATGGAACTGAGATGGAATAAAGATGGACATACAGCCCGCCATAGCTTTTATTATAATAATAAAAAAAAATAAGTGCAGCTCCTCTTTAAAGTTTTGTCATATTATTTTAGCTGTCGGCTAACTTTCAGGACTCTGACATTTCTGTCGCCCCAATAAACGACCCGCTTCCACTTTAAGCCTTTGCTATTTTATTTCTAATGGTAATTGAAGCCATTTTGCTATGACACGGCGACGCCATATTAATTGGAATGGTCTGAAAACCGCGAATAAAAATGTCGCATTTAATTCGCGTTGGTGTTTGTGCTTCTTTATGCATTTCGCTCAATTAAATTGCACTTGAACCTATTAGAAGTGGAAATGCCATCGCTGGCAGGCGGATATGCCAGTGACACGCGATTTGCCGATCAAAAGTGGACCCGCGCCGCCCTTTTAAAGTCCTCGGACCAGAGCCCCGTGCTGACCACATTAATTTGACTCCGTGTGTGTGTTTTCTGGACGCCTTTAAAGTTGTAATTAGGAACAGTATCACCGTCTCACCGCACCTTTCTGCCATTTGAAAAGTGTTTGTTCATTGAGTGGGCGTGGCCTCGTTGTCCGTGGGGCTGCAATTAGGACCTCCACCAATCCTCGTCCTGCCGCGTTTCTTGTTGGCATTTGCGGAACGCGGAATGAAAAGATTCGCCGTCGTTTCAGGGTTTGGTGTACTGTGGTTTTTCTTTGCGGGATCTCTCTTTTGTTTGGCGGTAAACTGCCAGGGAGATATCACTTTTAAATGTTACAGTGGGCAGGAATCGTTTTAGTTTCTACTATTACTAAGCTCTGGATCGAATTTCAAATCGTTCATAACTAAGCTTAAAATACTTTTATTCTTTGACTCGTTTATTTATATTTTAAATAACATTTTTTTTCGATAATTCAAAGTTTAAAAACTAATAACTGCGTCAAAAAGCCACTAATTTCAATTCGGAAAGCTTTCCTGTGTTAGTTTTTATAAGGTTAACAAATCTGCATACTCAATTTAAAATGTTGAAAAATTACATTTTTTATCACTTTTACAAAAATTGGAAAAAATGGCCAAAAATTTTTTTTCCTTTTCTTGTCTAGAAAGATTCGCCTGTTGATGCTGATCAAGAATATATATGGATTATAGGGCCGGAAATGACTTTTTAACAGAGTTATTGGCTTTTTATTAAAATTATAATCCCTGCAAGGATCAAAAAATTTGATAAATAATTTGTGATTATTGGAACATAGGAGAAAACTTGTAAAGGATATGAAAGGAGTTCTTTGGATCCATATAAGTGGTTCTGTTAATTAAAAATAAATCTTTATCCATATTTACTTAATGGGATTATGTTCCCGAATAATGCTACGAAAAATGAGCAAACCCTTTACATTTTATTCCTAATATCATTCAATCAGTGAGAGAAAATTGCTGAAAAGAAGTAGCTAATCAGCACGTTGGTGTTATCCGGAAAAAAAGAATTTTTCTACCCCCTCCACTGTATTTACGTTCCCACTTTTCTTATTTCCGGCATCCTGCACCACCCCCATTCCCCCCGCTGCCTCTGCGCCCTCATTCTCTATGCAAATGCAAATGCCAAACCCATTCTCGCTTTGCCGCTGTTTTTGTGGTTGGGAAACGCTTTGTTCTCACCTCGCTGCTCACCAACACACATACCCCGCACATACGCACATCATCTCATTGTTCCGTATCGGCGCTTTGTATCTTTAACAAAATTGCCAAACCGCAGGAAAAGCTGGGAAAGCCAACCCACGTGAAATGCGATGCGAGGCGCCTGATTAAGCTCCCGAAAGCGACCGCAAAGGGCTGCGTATAGAATAGGGGAAATCCCTAATCTAAACGAACAATCGGGCAGGAATACTGCTCAATTGTTTATATATATTTATGGGGATTGACATTTGCATTTAGCGAATTATTCTTTTACAATTTTCCACGCAATTAGACAGGCCAGCTAGGGGAGAAAATGGAAATCCTCCAGGAGCAGCTCCATCTCTCATGCAGACCATGGCACTGGCTTACAGAGCTCTGTAAATTGTACTGCAGTTTGAAAGGCAGAGATACATTTGTATCTTGAGCTTAAGAAGCTAGACAGTTTCCAACTTCCACTTGAGAGTCGAGGAAAACCTCTTTTACCTACCCGAAATATCACTGCTTTTGGGTAAAAAGAACAATGAATACAAGGAAACCGATTACATGTGTATATTATCCAGACTTTTATTAGCCAAACAATATTACACATTTTTCATGACAACAGTGTATATTAATTTTTCGAGTTCCCTAATTTTAGTTGCTTTTTTCTGTGCGTGTACTTGAGGGGAAGAATCTGGGGAAACACCGGCAGACGTGGGGAAAACTTTTCGCCGAATTTTATATTTATCTGCTCCACTTCCGAAAAGGGGCGTCGATTGGGGCGTGGCCTGGGACGCGCCCCTCTTCCAAAAATAGGCGTTCTCATCGAGCGGCAGTCGTCGTCGTCGTCATCATCATAAAAAAACAAGACGATGGCAAAAGTTTTTCAATTTTTGCTACAACTTTACCAGGCTGAGTGAGTCCTTGGGTGTGTGTGTGTGTGGGTGTGTGTGTGTAGGTGCAGCCCTCGAGTTGTGTAAACATTTGTAGTTTACTTTCAGTTGGCAGGCGGCTCGTAAAATCTGTCCGTTTCGGTTGAACTAGAACCGTTTTTGAAACTGTCTCGTAACTCAGACCCGCAGGTTATCCCATCTCCCTCGACCCCAACAAAAACACGGAACTTTGGGTTTGTTTTGCCCAAAAAAAGGACCACCGATTGAATTAGAAAATTATGCTGAAAGTTATTTGGATTAAAGGAAGAAGGGACGCACCGCCGGCCCATTGAGAGCAAGGAAATTAGGTAATGGGATAGAAAATTACCCAGGCAGGGCGCAGAGCAGAAATGGGGATTTGAGGGAATTTAGTTGGGAGAATAATAATAAGTAAACACAATTTATACCTCAGCAAATGAAAAGAAAACTCTGTGCCGTCGGTCAGCACATTGACAAACTCCCATTGGGAATTCGATTAGTTTGCGCAAAGCGAATAAATACAAGGATTCCGGGCAAGGATAAAAGAAACTTGTTATTGAAAAGTTTGTTTCTAAAACAACATTAATGGGAAATACCGATATCCTATTTACGGCAACAGTAATGTTTAACATAAAAATTAAAGAAGAAAATAAAAAGGAAAAAGAAACTGTCACGAGTTTCCCATACCGGGAATTGAACCCGGGCCTTCCGGGTGAGAGCCGGATATCCTAACCACTAGACAATATGGGATATGGGATCCTATGTGGCGAAATAGTGTACGTAAGCACACGTATTCTATTTTAAGCTTTGTGTGACGTTGATAAGATTGCATGCTGGTATGCTTTAGCATAATCAAGGCACAACTAAATTTTAAAATATATTTTCGAATATATAAATTGTTCTTTATGAATTTGTATTCTATTCACAATGAACATGATACAAGTTAACTAAAGTGATTAACTTCAAGTAGATGATTAAAGATCATCTATTAAATATTCCGATTTAGTATAACAAAAAATATGAGAAAAAAGTTTCCCATACCGGGAATCGAACCCGGGCCTTCCGGGTGAGAGCCGGATATCCTAACCACTAGACAATATGGGACTTGATAAGGGCACTGCCCAGTGTTATCAAGTCCCGACTTCTAATTAAAAACTTGGCAGCTATCGATTTGTATGTTATCAGGACAGCAGTTAATATTCTCCCAATCATCCGAGGAGTCTCTGTGATGACAATGATCGAAATTATTATCATTATTCTTGATTTTATAAACCTACCCAATCTCCGAAAAATCACATTCCGATGGGAAACCACACAATATGCAATTATTCAAGTCGTTAAAACATGTTTTACAGTAGACTCCTGAGCAGTTGGGCGAGTCGCAGTAAATATGGTCTGATCTGTTGAGGAAAAGAACCTTTAAGGACATTTAATAATAGTAAATTGAAGCTTACTTTGTCAGAGGTTTATTGCAAACAGTGCAGGATCTGCCTATAAAGACGCTACGGCAACCACTAAAGAACCTGTAGAAAATGTTTACTTAATAAATAATTGTGCTGGGAAAGCGGTTTTACCAGCTGGTTAACGAATTAAGTTGAGAGATGCAGGAAACTATTTTATTCTCATATTGATAGCAATTTAAGAAGCGGGCTCGTTGACGACTAAGCTGAAGTAAAGATTCTGGGGAAAGGATTTTATTAGTGATCAAGAGGTTTATTTTTTGGTTTGACTCACTTCTCTCCTTAAGTATGCTACAGTGCAGATACTGAACTCTGCGACAGGATTCCTGTGGATAAAAGTAGGCCATTATTCGATGTCGCTGACGGAGACCATATGGCTCCCAGAGGACCATAATCCATGCCAGAACATAAAGCACAAAGATGCAGAAATATTGAAAGTACTTTGGCTTTCCCGGGACTGGAAGACAATTGTAGGAGTCCATTTGAATTACGTTGGGTTCAAACGCGTAAACGAAAGCCCTTAAAAAATCACCAATTTGACCGCCACCTTTGATTACCAATTTCCTATATGGGGAAGCTATAAAAAATTAATTAAAATATATAGATGAGACTCTAATAAACTCTTACGTTGAACTGCAGCCGTCATGTTGCCATGGTGAAGCATTAGGGCTAACATGCTGTAAAGACTGTAGTCCACCAGGCAGAGGCAGTAAAGCTGTATTCCAGTGATGAGTAGAAATCCTCCCGAACGATAAATTTTCTTACGCTCGAAGGGTAGAAGCTCTAGGGATGATATCTGAACAACAAGCATTAAAAGGGAGCACATATAAATGTAATGCATATTTTACCTTAACATATTTATTATTTTCACAAAGGTTGAGGGGTAAGACTCGAACCCCCATTGTCTGCGATTGTTGTTCTTCGTAGACCTCAAATTCTTTTGTTATATAGACATTGTCAAAGTGCTCGGATATTAAGTAATGCAATCGAAAGTCTATCGATCGAAGGATCACTGTCAACAGGAGAATGAAAACCATCAAGTAAAGCAAAATGGATATAAGGTTTAACTTGTTCCTGGTCGTCTCCTGATTGTATATGAGATTCCTTTCACTTAAAAACAATCTTGTATTTGGCTTTCCGCTGTGATCAAAACTAATGGTAGCTAAGAACATCAAGCGGGTCTTTAGAAGACATATTTGTAAACCTGTAAGAAAATAAATTCTTATTGGGTTTCAGAAGATTCACTTGCCCTTACGTAGAAATATTTCCTCAATGATCATTTGGGGCAACTGCAGATTATTGCGGAAGAAGCTCTTCTTACCCTTCAGACTTTCACAGAACCAAGAGAATAGTTCTGGTCTACAAAAATCTCTTGCCTGCCCCCCGATTTCAAGTTGGTATTGGAAAACGCTCAAGTTCCCCGCTCTCAGACAGCGAGTGTAGGGCGTTCCCATCCTGTAGTCAAAGTATTCGTTCTGTAAGGCCAACCAGTTGGCGCATAATCCATAGGTTGCATCTTTACAGGGAAAAAAGTGTTAGTAAAATATATAGGAATGTTGTAGCTATAGGAAAGTTACAGATATCTGCAATTGGATTCTCTAGCTTCAGAAAAAGCTCATCCAATTTCATCCTTATTCCGAGCACTACATCAATCGTTCTTTTGAATAACTCCTCCATCATGTGCAAAGGATCATTTACAATGCGATGCATAGACCCAAGGACATCTATAAGTTGATTCTGCTGGCAGTTGAGACTGCATGCCATAATGTTTATATTACGAAGGATATTCATCACGGGACCCGAAATAGCAATCAGGAAAGCCCAGGACACAAAAAGAGCTCGTGTTTGGTAATGCGCTAAAGTTGGAAGGCACAAAACTGCAATGCATCTATAACGTGGGGTTAGTGTGATTGAGTAAAAGAATCCTAATGCGACTACCTACCTTGCTGCTCTTCTTTTAGCTAATATAAGCAGTAAAGGAAATAACAAAATAATGAATAACCACTTTCTTCCAAGATCACAGCGGGCTCTTGATGGATTCCAGCAATACCAGAAGAGTACCAGCAAGATTCCCAATATATATCCTGCGATTAGATATAGTAAAATCTTATCTCTACACTCGCTCGGTGAGGTTTGATCATATTCCGCGGGATTGCATTCCGGTTCGAGATCATTCGGATCCAAGGGATAAATAGGGGCATCTCCATCGGGACTGGAATCCCGGGCTTTCCTCGAGTTCGAGATGTGAGCCTCATGACGGGTTTCTCGATATCGTTGACTGCCTTTGCACATCCGATAGGAGTTTCCTGTTCCCTTTGCAGTCTGAAGCGATGATTGACTCTCATCTGATTCGACACAGTCTTCCATCATTATGTATATTTTGTTTAAATTTATATTACTATAGGACAGGAAAGTCACAGAATTTAAGGAAATTCAAAAATTAAAATAAATTTGTCTAAAAAGTTTCCCATACCGGGAATCGAACCCGGGCCTTCCGGGTGAGAGCCGGATATCCTAACCACTAGACAATATGGGACTTGGATGGTCCCGGTCCAAGTTTCCCTCAAATGCTTTTCCAAGGACTGAAAGTGGTCTATGATTTAGTTAATTTTCCTGCACCAAATGCGCCCGCCGGCATTCAATAGCCTCCTCGCTGGGGACTCACGCAGCTTTTCATATTTACTGCAATGAGGGGGGTCAACTTCATATAACCTTTTTTGGGAATTAATTAAAAACCATTCAACAACAACCAGGGCTGGCAGTTGCATTGGGCCTGGACTCCAGTGGCTGGGAATGAGGCACATAATCATCAATTATTCGCACAATTACCGCAAACAAATAAATATTCTTAATTTATTGTGTTTTCGGATCGGGCTTGGCCGCCCACAATGGCAACAGGCGGCAGTATATATTAAAAAAAATATTAAAAATAAATTTCCAACCCGAAATCAACAAACACACAAATTTCGGGACGGATCGGACGGGATCAGGGGCAGGGACAGAGGGACTTGTTGGATACTGCGGTATTGAGATTGATGTCCATAAATTAAATCTTCGCCACTCCGTCTCGTTGCGCTGCCGGTTCATTGTATTTTTTTGTTTTTCGTCGTCAGTCTGGGTGTCGTACGATAAATTTCATAGATGCATTTGGTAATTTCAATTTGTTTTAATGTGTCGCCTCTATTCTATTTTATTCTCTCTCCGCGCAGAGAACGGCACAAATAGCACATATAATTTGAGGTTTATTGGCCGTACAGCGCCGTGCCGTGCCGTGGCTTTGCTCTGGTATTTTTAGCCGTCCTCGTGGGACGATCTCTGAGGCTGAGGCCCCCGAGTTCCCAGCCGCAAACAATTGTCGCTGCTTATCAGGAATGGGCCCAGAATGGGGGGCGGTGGAGCTTTTTGAAGTTGAAGCCCAAGGCCGGAAATGTATCGCATGCATCTCTTGAACGATCAGTAAGCTGGCATCGACATGCACTCAGGGAAAAAGTTGTATAAACTTAAAAATCTATGAAAGTCTTACAGGTAAAGGTGTACTTGAGCATATTAGGTTAGTCAAAGTATCAGGAAGTCAAAAGCCTTTCCTAAATCGGAAACTTTTTCAAAATTGTATTATTTATATTAAGTTTTATATTTATTTTGGGAAAAATCGTCCATCTTAAAGTATTAATAGTATCTAACGAATATTTGTTGTAGTATCTTAAAAGTGAATTTGTTCCGAGTTTTCTATAAATCATCTTTTGTTTTATGTGGGGCCAATATATTTCGAGATTCCTGCAAAAGAAGGGATTTCGGAAGCTTAGGCCTCGTAGCGCCATCATTGGTTACGGGAGAGGATTAGGGCGTAGGATTTTCCCGGGAGGCAGGCAGCAGCTCCATCATAATTAATAAACTGTCACCAGTTTTGTGTGTTGTCGCTAGGCCGAATATATATTTCTATCCATCCCGCAGTGTCTTGTTTTATTTCCACATAATCTGCGGGGCTTCCCACCGCGTAGTGGTCGTAAAATAACGTTATTTCGGTTCTTTTGCCCTCTAACGAAGGCAGCTATCACCTGAACAAACTCACCGGTAATGGCCGTTTAGAGCCGGCTTCCTCCACTTCTTGGGTGTCCGAAATTTGTCGCGCGATGGGGGAAATTTCGTTTGAATGGTTTCCGCAATGAAGCGACAAAAGTGACAGCCATCGCGGAGTTATTGCTGTTGCAGCGCTTCCCCGAAAATTCGGCGGCCCATAAAGTGCGGGAAAATCGTCATCAGCCGTTGCTCAATCTCTTCACGTTTTGAGAACTTCCTCCGGTGTCTGTCTGTCTGTCTGTCTATGTGTCTGGTTACTGCAACTGGTCTTCCTCGGACTTCATTTCTTTTCATTAGCCGCCCGCGCTGCCATCTATGGATGGAGCAGGGTCATAAAACGTAACTGGTTACTCCGCGCAAATGTTCTCGTAACTCTCTGGGTCGTACAGAGAACAAAATATACTAGAACCTTGGGAAATTTCTAATACAATATTGTTATACGAAATATGATGTATGATCGATCTCTTCTTCTGACTGTTAATCTATTCGTTCTACTCTTCGTTGGAATGTCCTTTAGATGTCCGTTCTTTCTGACAATTTGGTTCAACTTTCTTTGGAAACAGTCTATGGAAATTTCTTCATGTGTTGGCATACAACTCACTTGATTACTGGTCCGCCGCTGACCGGCTCTTTTACTATGTAATATATGTGTTACTGGCACAGACGGACAGCGGCACTTTATTAATGAAAAGCGCAGAAGTTTGTTCTCCACTGCCACTGCTACTACTAATACTAATACTATATATTTTTTTCCCATCCCTTGCTACGTGCGGAGCGTGTGTGGCCTGCATTGAGGTCAGGGCAGATTTGTTAACTGAAAGTGAGCGGTTCTGCAATCGTTGCGGCCAAATGAAATGGCCAAAAAGACTGGACACGACCACCGCACTCGGTTATGAGGAAAGTTTTGTCTGCCAAAAAGGTTAGCAATTAGAGAGAGTTTTTTTTTTGGCTTTGTTTCTACTAAACTGTGTTTTTAAGCCGGTCTAGAAGGGGAAAGCGAGTCTCGGTAATAAAGAGATGCTTCTAGTTAGCATGGGAAAGAATCTCATTTCGGAGTGGTATAAGCTCTTTGGATTATTTCGAAAGAATTCAACTGCAAGCATATATTGTGGATCAAGTATGATTTTGAAACAATTGTAAAGAATAAGGGATATAGCTCTTTTAAAAAGAATAGTGTGTTTCAACCTTTCCTAACAATATTTCTCTACAAAAATCAGACAATCTCAAGGAAAGAAACCTGGATACTCTTCCTGGGGGGTTAAGAAACCATGACACCCATCAAAAGTGTATTCAATTGATTCAGTGGCAATAATGGCGAATGAGAGACACCCACCACATGAAGGGTAATTTTGAGCTGCCTTCCAACTTAATTTTTTTGTGGCCTTTGTTTGCTGGGATTTATTCTTGGCTCTTGGTCCGACTGACAAGTCGTTGGCATCTCTGGCGCATGTTAATTATGCCAACGGACTTGGCTACCTTTGCTGCTGTTTCTTTTGGTGGCGGTGCTCCCCTCCAGATATGTGGGCCGTGACCACGTCGCAAAGACCTTGACTCTTGCCAAGATCTTGATACGATTTATACAATTTTTGATTCATGGCGTCTCTGCTGTCGCTGTCGCTATCTTTGGCCCAAAACCGAATTAATTTCGTAGGCAAAAGGCGTGTTGCCGTATTTGTCGAGGCGAGAATTTCGAGTTCGAAATTTTGAATTCAATCAGCAATTTGCATAAATTTGCAGGCGCGCAAAAAGAAGCTGCTTAGGCCCAAAAAGGCGGGATTAGCCATCTGGAGGGACGCCCACAGAAAATGCCACCTACAAAAAAATGCAAACCCCCCTCGAGGGAAACATAAGACTCCGTTATGGGCCGCTGACCCAAAGTGTGGCTACTAATGGGACAGCCAAGTGACAAACTGGCCAAGAGAATCGGGTGGGCCGCTGATTGACTGACTGACTGACTGACTGACTGATTGACATTCTCTGCGGCAGATTGAATAGGGTTCCCACTCGATCTAGCCCCGAATTGCCTCTTCTATCAGACCCACATCAGACTGCCGATGGTCCAAACATTTGCAAATTGCTTCGCTTTTGGCTTTTGTCGCGCGGTCCACGAAAATAGATTGGCTAAAATGGGGGGAGGTGGGCAGCAGATCGCATCTGTCTGCGATATCGTACGATTTTGTATATATAAAGCATGGTATATATTGTTGCTCTTCAAGAGGTGAGACAATGTTTGAATGCTCTGCTTTATTGCTTAATTATATTTGATATTTAAGAAACATTTATATGTTTGTTATTACAAAATAGTAAGTTTTTAATGCGATTTTCTTAGAGGAAATATTGCAAATATTAACTTGAACATCCTTATCCCAACTGAAATATATTTAATAATATGTATGTTTAGAAATCCCAAGTAAGCTTTAGAATGTTCAAGTAACTCTAGTAGTAAGAGTATCCCTATAAATATCATTCTGCTGCCACTGTTTCTGCTTTATTTCGGTTTCTATTTCGAGCTGATTCACTCTCGTCTCGTTCAGTGGGCTGATCGTGGTCGCCTCGTCGTGGTGGTTGCTAAATTTAAATGCCCAAACATCCATAACGACATTCATGAGGATCGGATGGGTGCACCTCCGTTCGTCTGCTTTTAGTGCCCCGCCTGCTCCTGCCCCTGCCCCTGCCCATGCCCCCGACTTACACAATTCTCAGAATTTATTTGTATTAATTTCGCGGCATTAAAAACTAATGCGTCGACGCTAGAATTAAAGCCGTCGTAAAGCTGACAAATATTTTAAGGCGATGACCGCCGCCAGCGAGTGTGAATAAAAAAGCGCGACAAATTAATGAATTTATGGGACACTTTTGGGGGTCTATGTTAACACAACACACACACTACACCCCCGTCCTCTTGGAATGGCCACCTGTCTCCCCTTGTGTTTAGTGTCACCAGGCGCCAATTGGTCGTCACCCCATTCCACCCAGTTTCCCACTTGACGGCGGGCGTGGGCGATTTTCAATATGTTTTCCTAGCGAAAGAAAATGCTCTGTCTGTCTGTGTCGTGCGTTTTTCCCCCAAAAAACAAAAGAACGAACGCAATGTGAATGTTTCTCGGAATTTGGTTTTATTTTTGAACCGATGAAGGCGATTCGCAAACTCTTTGTTTGTTGTCACACCTCGGCTGCATGATCCGTCGAACCGGAGGGGGAAAACCCAGAGGAATCCCAGTGGGCGGTGTCCCTAGACTGGCGCATTCCTCGACTCCAGCGGAGAAGACGACATCCTGGGAAACTGTGTGGGCGATCTCCAGAGGTGTGTGCCTCTGGAGCTCTGTAGCT